TACGCCCTATCCCAGGTCACTGCCCCAGAAGAAAAGAAGCTCAAGAGACAACAAGGAGTACCCAATAAAGACGTCGAGTGCTATCCACTAGACCAATCAACCACTCGGGTACCCCCTCCTTCCCAAAGTCACACGATGAGTCAACCACTCGATCGTACAAGAAACCACTCGACCTACAGAAGACCAGGATTCAATCAGAACAGCAACGGGCAAGCATTCACTCCGTAGTCTTTAAGGTCATTTAAGGAACTTAAGGCCGGCATTACCAGTAACGCCCCAATCTTTATGTACATTGAACTCCTTCTAATGGAGGATGGCTGGGGTCCTGGCGCACTCTATATAAGCCACCCCCCTTCTCTGGCACAAGGGTTCGCACTCCCTGTAACACACACACACACTCATATAATCCAGTCGATAGCCTCCGGGCACCGAGATGTAGGGCTTTTACCTCCTCCGAGAGGGGCCTGATCGTAAACACTTGCATACAATCTTGCCGTAGCTAGGACCTTGCCTCCTCATTCGTACCCCTTACTGTCAGACTTAGTACCACGACACTGAGTTCTGGGCCGGCTGCTGAGCAGGCAACTCAGAACTTCAAGGCAAGTTCTAGTGCTAACTTGTTTCTTTTTCTTATGTTGTCTTCGTTGCAGGACTACCACAACCTCCGCGCGGCTGCCTAAAACTCCCAGAACCAGGAGCTGGCCAAGCGGACCAGCGGCTTGAACGAGAGCCAGAGTAAGCACTCCATCTTTCTTCTCACGGGGGCAGACCCACTGGGTGTAGCCCCCGAGATTCGGGCCAACTGTTGAGCAATCGGGCCGAATCTTCTGGCACTAATATTTTGTCAATATTGATGTCTCCTCCTTTTTGTCTTTGCAGAGGTGGCCACCAAGCTGTAGCAGCGCCTTGGCGAGGCCAAAACCGAGCTTTGCACCAAGGAGCAGGAGCACAACCAGGCGGCTCAGGAGTGCAAGCGCCTAACCAAGGAGCTGATAGCCCAGGCGGGGCGGCACAAGGCGGAGCTCAAGAAACTGAAGGACAGCGAGGACTCCCTCAAGGCCTAATTTGAGACTCAACGTTTGAACTGGGCTGAGAAGGAGAAGTTCCTGACCAACGGCTACGGCGAGATCGAGGACATGATCGACGGTAATTTATTTCTTCTTCTTAAGCAGCCGCCGACTGCTGCGGTAGCCGGCCTCTGTCTTCTAATATTTTGACCTTCTTCTTGCACAAAGTACTTCCCGGGTTACTCTGTCGCTGTCAGCCAGGCCATCGAGGCGTGGCGCGTGGCGCGAAGGGCGGCGGGCGTGGACATTGCGCCCAACGCGCCCCGGAATCTCGGCGGCCAGCTCCTTGCTGTCAAGACACGCCTGCAACCGGCCCACCAGATGATCCTCCACCTGCAGCGGGTTGGGGCTCAGATGCTGACGCCCTCTGGCCAGGCGCTCGAGTTCCCCGCACTCCCAGTCGGACTGCCGACTGGCTGGAGGTGGCAGTCGGGCGCTTCAAAGCCTGGAAAGGCGCCACGGCTTGGGCGTGTGTCCGGGCGGCCTTGGAGTTCGCCAAGGCTTGGTACCTCGGCCTGGATCTGACCCAGCTGGCCGCGGTGGAGAGGAGTACGAGGGTTCACCGGTTAGGCTGCGGTGTGAGGCTATCATCGCCGCAGAATAACAGGGGGTGTGGGTGAGTAGAGGGATGCCCTGGCCAGCGGTGGGAGTAGTAGGGGGCGCTGAGGCCTGCGCGGCAGCACAGCCGGCCACGGGAGGCGGGAGTAGGCGGTCCCGCCGGCGCTGCTTTGGCGGCTAGAGCAACAAGATCAGAGATTGAAGAAACACGACGGCCATTCGATTGACATCCAACGATTACGTCTGCTAGCATCGTTTGTTGACGTATATAATAACTAAAAAAATCTTGCATACGCGTCAACTAAACAGGCCCACAAGTCAGACCACTCCTTTTTTTAATAATTTATATATAGCTCATGGCAACTTCTTATGCAATTTATTGCAGTCGTTTTTTTGGTTGGCCAGGGCCAATTTCGCATATTTCTGTGGGTTCCAAACTATTTTTAATACAGAAATGTCGAGCCAGATTTAAAGTACTTTGAAGATATATTTAAATTAGTTTAATGCCCAGTGATCAATTATAATATAGCAGGGTTTTTGCGCCCAAACTACGGATGTTGTGTTCTCCTCAGGGATTAGGCAAATCGATGATCGTGCTTGGCTAAAGCTAGGTAACACAATTCAGATTATGAAAGCAAGAAAATAAACCTACACTAAACAAGGTTGTTCCAATGATCGTCGACAAAGAAAATGCAAAGAGCACATGGAGATTCAGATTTTACTCATTGTCTTTTTGGTATTTCCGTAATGCTTGAGAAATTAAAATACTAATACGAGCATACATCAATGACAAGAGAAGTGAAAGGACATGAACGTAACATGACAAGGACACAAATATAACTATCGAACATGAACAGAGGGAAGAAACAAGATTGCAGGACAGAACATAAATGTATCACATCACAGACACACACATATGTATATATATCACAGGTACTTGGAGCTAACACAGGTACTAGAAAATGTCGAATTTACACGTCTCACTTGACAAAGAGCACAAGAGCTGAACATCAAAAAAATAGAAAATTAACTAGTACAGAGAAATAACTTGGAAGCAAAATCACATAGACCATATATTAATCCTGCACTATAGCTGCAAGTACGAAACAGAACTAAAATCTGAACCTTACTAGGTATTACATATCTTAATTTTACAGAAATTAGGTGTTCAGAATAGTACACAAGTTTCACCTTTTCAGAACAGAACAGTACACTAACTGACTTACAGACACATAGAGAGCTAATGCTGATTTGAATGTAATTGGTCTAGCATCCAGTAGTAACTATCTGCAACTACACACACACATAGAAAGAGTGAGAGAAAGAGAAAGAAAGAGAGCAGCAGCTGTTTTGAGGTTCATGTAAGAAGAATAGTGGCGAGGCAGAGAAGAGCAGGAGCAGCAGAAGTGACGCAGGGAAGAAGAAGAAGCAGTAGGCAGGAGAAGAAGGTGTAGCTGCAGCGCACAAGCAGCAGCAGCAAGAGGAGAAGCAGAACGGGAGCAGCAAGAGAGAGGTAGCAGTTTCGAGATGGAGAGGAGCAGCAGAGATTGAGAAGAGGGTCAGCTGCGAGGCAAGGGAAGGGGAAGCTGCAGAGCGATGGAGGAGTGGAGGAAAGAAGCAGGGGGCGGTGAGAGAAAAGAGAAGGAGCGGGGAGGAGCGCTCACGCGGAGGTTCAGACGCCCGCGTCCTCGTGTCTGATGGGACGCGCGACGGCGAAGTGGAGGGATGGCGCTGGTGGAGCTGGTGGCGCGCCCCACGCCGGCCTGGCTGTGGCGGCGGCCGGAGGTGGAGAAGAAAGGGATCGGGGGAGAGGATGAGATGCCAGACCTCGGGGAATTGTGTAGTGACCTAGGGATTTTGATCCCCTCACTGTAGATTTTGATGTTTGCACATGGGCCCTCCTACTATCTTCTTCCTTCCCAAGTAGATCCCCTCTCTTCTATAGTTAGCCCCTTTGGTTACTTCTTGTCGTCACACACATGCCCTTCTCTCTTCTCGTTAGCCACATAGTAGAAATCTTGACGATTATAGTGCCTTGCGCACTTTTCTACAAAAGAAACAAATGACAAGTAAATGATCTTTTATATGATTTTCATTCAAATATATCACAACTCATAGCAAGAATGGATGGATATATCACGATAGATGCTAAATTTGAGTGCCAAATTTGTATATGTGAAATATACTTATCAAGTTCCCCCACACTTAAATCTTTGCTTGTCCTCAAGCAAAGGAATATGACAAAGGCAAGATAATGAACAGTAAACTGAGTAAGGAATGTCCTGGTAAAATAGATCTCCAAACAAGGCATGCTTCAGACTTAGCTAGTGAAAATTAATGGTTAGGACTGCTACAAAGCAGTAGGATACTAGTAAGCACGACCATTTTAAACTTTTACAGTGATAAAAGAGGATCAACAAGTTTAAATGATGACTATGCCAAATGGTTCCTAAAGAGAGCATGATCCCAAGAACAAAATGAACTGGAATTAAATCTTGTGATCAAATCACTTATTTACAGAGATAAAGCAATGATTATATTATTATTAGTCTCACCATAGGAACATACCACCGATCCCGAGAACAAGGTATACACCTGGCTCGACCAATTATTAGTTTTTTTGTTTGTCTCCCCAAAGGAACATACCACTGATCCCGAGAACATGGTATACACCTGGTTCGACAATTACATTTTTTTATTATTAATTACTGCCCAAGCTAACCCGATTTCACATGCCACCGATCCCGGGAACATGACATGCTACTGTAGGTAGTCAGACTTATTTATTCATTATTACTTATCTTAAATGAACAACACATAAGCACAAAAATAGGAATCATCACTTCTCCATGTCTGGTTCACATGCTACCGATCTAGGGAACATAGCATGCTAATCCATAGTGGTTAGGTGATTGCTCTCAATGGGAACACACTTAGCACAAATTCAACATCTAAACATGGTGATCTAGGTGTATCGAGGTAAAAGCAGAAAATGATTAAGTTTTCTAGTATACTAGGGATTTGAGCACTCAAAACTAATAACTTCCACTACTTTCAGCAAAGCAAGCATTGTATAGATCACTAGTTTACCAGACATTCAACACTCAGTTCACATATTCTCATCAAGCACCATATGTCAAGTAAAATTCAGTGGGGCAACATTTAAGACATGGCTTAAGCAACCCAAATAACATTTGATTTCAGCATGTATCAATGGATGATATATTCGGAATGGGTCATGAAACAGCTCACCGGGCTTTGATCATGTAGCACTCGCTCGATCACCTCACCAACTGCAGCTCTTCTCCTTTTGCTTCTCTATCCTCATGCCTGCTCCAGCTTCTCCCTTCCTCGAGTGTGCCCCCTTGCTTCTCCTCATCCCCATGCTCTGAGTCCACCAGGGTCCCAAGGAATGTCACCTCGAACCTGGTCAGCATGTAATGGATCGTGCACAAGCAAAAACCTGAAAGCACACTCAACAACCAAGCCAATACAAGTGACAGAGAGAATGCCCTCTAAGTCATCGATAGAGTACCCTATCATATAAGTATATCTATTGATCAAATCAGGAACATGTATCAACAACAAGTCACATGGGGCATAGGCAATATCAGCGATATGACATGTCTTGTCCAGAAAGCTAAGATCATACTTGAGATAGTTAGGAAGAAGCTTCAGAACTACCTCAATTGAAGATACCAAGTGAGGTGTGGTAGTAGAAATTTCAACCGGACTCGTGTCAACAAGTGAAATAGTAGAGCTTGGCTCCTTGACATCTGAATCCACCTCACCATACTCAACCATGAAGCTCTCCATCTCAGGCTCAAGTGTTGAGGAAGCAATGCGGCTAACATCATCGAAGGTGAACTTCTCCATATCTGGCTCTAGCAGCACATGATCAATATCAACTAAAGGTGACTCCTCAATATCAAAAACAACTAACTGCAGCTCTGGCTCATCCATGGAAGAATCATCACAATGCAAAACCGAATCTCCAACACTAGTATCCATATGATCTGTAGCGTGTGTGTCAACTAGAATGGTGTCATCATCGTCAAAGATAATCCATGCAAGCTCAATCTTGTCACACTGAGATAGAGGTTCAGGGTTCTGTGTAAGAATTGGTGGCTGGGGTGTAGTGATTTGTTGCAAGCAAACCAATGAATCAGACGTGGGCTTCTTATTGTACCACTGAAGTTGGTGGAAAGCTATGCTCTCAATCAGCAGAAAAGCTTCATCAAGTGTCTTGTTTGTAATAGCTCCACCGCTGCCATATCGACATAAGCTCGAGTGTTCGAAGTCAATCCTCTATAGAATATTTGCAGCTCTAACCATCTCTCGAGCCCGTGGTTAGGACATCTCCTGAATAAAGCCTTGTATCTCTCCCAAGCATCATACAAGCTCTCGCCTTCACGCTGAACGAAGCTGAGGATCTCATCTCGAATTGCGGACTACTTATGTAGTGGGAAATATTTATCCAAGAAAGCTTGTGATATCTCGTTCCAACTGAATGATCTTGATGGCAAGGATCGATACCAAGCACGAGCATCATCCCAGAGAGAGAATGAGAACAGCATGCACTTGATAGCATCTTGAGGAACTCCATGGTACTTGACTGTACCTGAATACTCCATGACTCGGTATAAGTGCTCATAGGGATCCTCAGTGAGCAGACCTCCAAACTGTTGTTGTTGAACCAAAGCAATAAGACCAGGCTTTAGCTCAAAATTTTCTGCCTCAAAAGACGGCCAAAGTGGCCCTGTGAAATAGCATTGGCTGCTTGGCATCCAAACATCACGAAGCATCGCCATATCTCCACCAAGTGTAACTATCAATCAACCTGCAAATAGATCAGATTTCCTACGCACACTCATAAACAGTAAATACTAGTCAACAACAAGGAAAAAATATATAAAAGAAACACAGAAAAAGAAATACACGATGAATTAAACATGAAACTAAAATAAACCTAGTCTATAGCTAACATAATCGCTCGACGCTAGTCCCTGGCAACGGCGCCAAAATGATCAATTATAATATAGCAGGGTTTTTGCGCCCAAACTACGGATGTCGTGTTCTCCTCAGGGACTAGGCAAATCGATGATCGTGCTTGGCTAAAGCTAGGTAACACAATTCAGATTATGAAAGCAAGAAAATAAACCTACACTAAACAAGGTTGTTCCAATGATCGTCGACAAAGAAAATGCAAAGAGCACATGGAGATTCAGATTTTACTCATTGTCTTTTTGGTATTTCCGTAATGCTTGAGAAATTAAAATACTAATACGAGCATACATCAATGACAAGAGAAGTGAAAGGACATGAATGTAACATGACAAGGACACAAATATAAATATCGAACATGAACAGAGGGAAGAAACAAGATTGCAGGACAGAACATAAATGTATCACATCACAGACACACACATATGTATATATATCACAGGTACTTGGAGCTAACACAGGTACTAGAAAATGTCGAATTTACACGTCTCACTTGACAAAGAGCACAAGAGCTGAACATCAAACAAATAGAAAATTAACTAGTATAGAGAAATAACTTGGAAGCAAAATCACATAGACCATATATAAATCCTGCACTATAGCTGCAAGTACGAAACAGAACTAAAATCTGAACCTTATAAGGTATTACATATCTTAATTTTACAGAAATTAGGTGTTCAAAACAGTACACAAGTTTCACCTTTTCAGAACAGAACAGTACACTAACTAACTTACAGACACATAGAGAGCTAATGCTGATTTGAATGTAATTGGTCTAGCATCCAGTAGTAACTATCAACAACTACACACACACACATAGAAAGAGTGAGAGAAAGAGAAAGAAAGAGAGCAGCAGCAGTTTTGAGGTTCATGTAAGAAGAATAGTGGCGAGGCAGAGAAGAGCAGGAGCAGCAGAAGTGACACAGGGAAGAAGAAGAAGCAGTAGGCAGGAGAAGAAGGTGCAGCTGCAGCGCACAAGCAGCAGCAGCAAGAGGAGCAGCAGAACGGGAGCAGCAAGAGAGAGGTAGCAGTTTCGAGATGGAGAGGAGCAGCAGAGATTGAGAAGAGGGTCAGCTGCGAGGCAAGGGAAAGAGAAGCTGCAGAGCGATGGAGGAGTGGAGGAAAGAAGCAGGGGGCGGTGAGAGAAAAGAGAATGAGCGGGGAGGAGCGCTCACGCGGAGGTTCAGACGCCCGTGTCCTCGTGTCTGATGGGACGCGCGACGGCGAAGTGGAGGGATGGCGCTGGTGGAGCTGGTGGCGCGCCCCACGCCGGCCTGGCTGTGGCGGCGGCCGGAGGTGGAGAAGAAAGGGATCGGGGGAGAGAGATGAGATGCCAGGCCTCGGGGAATTGTGTGGTGACCTAGGGATTTTGATCCCCTCACGACAAATTTTGATGTTTGCACATGGGCCCTCCTACTATCTTCTTCCTTCCCAAGTAGATCCCCTCTCTTCTATAGTTAGCCCCTTTGGTTACTTCTTGTCGTCACACACAAGCCCTTCTCTCTTCTCGTTAGCCACATAGTAGAAATCTTGACGATTATAGTGCCTTGCGCACTTTTCTACAAAAGAAACAAATGACAAGTAAATGATCTTTTATATGATTTTCATTCAAATATATCACAACTCATAGCAAGAATGGATGGATATATCACGATAGATGCTAAATTTGAGTGCCAAATTTATATATGTGAAATATACTTATCACCCAGTGAAATAGGAATCTGAAAATGTGAAAAAAAATTATAAAGTAATTGCAAATTTTTCATCAGTTTTTATATTTACAACCCATTTCATATTACTTTCAAGATTTGCAGGCGTCTTGAAAGAGTTGCAGCCCATCAGGGCGTAGAAAAATAAGTAGGTCTGGATTGGGCATTCTTCAGAAAAAATAAACTGGGCTCATTTTTACAAAGAAAAAATAGCTGGGCTGGTCACATGGTGAACATAAAATATAAGTCTGGGCTAGACGGGCCACAGCCCAGTTCAAACCCTGCTCCGTCTCAACAATAACAAAAAAAAATACTACTCGAGCAGCTATGTCCCAGGTGTCAGCCGATCTTGTGCTGTTCTCTTGTCTATTGACTATATACGCTCACAATGACGTGGGTCCAAGATGTCAGGAAAACACTAGGAGGAAGCATTTTATTTTTCCATACGCTGACGTGATGGGCCCCTACTGTCATCCTATCCACGTACTACTCCTGCCGATTCCTGTTGTTCTGTTGACCATGTTGACAACGCGATAGGGCGGCGCCGCGGCGAGCGCACCAAACCGCGCGGAGGACATCAGTGTTAACAATTTAGGAGACGGTAGTGCGGCGATGTGTGTGTTGAGGCGCAGCCAGCCGTGGGAGGCGGAAGCAGGCGGCCCCGCCGGCGCTGGTTTAGTATTGGCGGCTGGAGGAAGACAGGACTGAAGAAACATGACAGACTGTAAAAGCAGCATGAGTACTTAACAACCTTAACTGAAACCAGCAGGGGCACTTAACAACCAAAGCTGAAAGCAGTATGAGTACTTATACAGGTTCAACCGTACAAAGCACGCCTCGAACAGTGCTACTTTGCCTACAGTTAACCAAGTGTGAGGCTGCCAAGCCCCAGGACCGCCACCCCGTGCATCCACAACCTTCTGAAAGCGGCTTCATCTCGCAATGTGGTCAATAAACAGGATATTCGCTTTAGAGCCATGGAAAAGCATGAACATAATCTTCTGTCCTATTCTCCAAGATGGACGGGCCTTCATTATTTGAGACCACCCATGAATAAGTATCTTTTCACCTCCAAGGGGAATTGAGTAGGTCGACATAAACATCATGTTGTGACCAAGCGCAAGTCTGACCCGACCATGGTCAAGCATCTGTATAGGAACAATAGAACTGGGCAGTTCCTGTTTCAAGAAGATCACAGCTGTAAAATTGTGTATAAGCAATAGTTTATGAACAACATATATAACAGAAAAGAGCTCGTACCATAAGTTTCTCGACATAGTTGGAACTGTTCAACAAGTGCAGCGGTGGCACACATATCCCACGTGGCCTTCCACCATTGAAACGCCCCACAAGGACCTCAAGACGATCAATAAAGTGTAGGAACTTGTGGATGTCAGATCCAGTCAACTTCAGTGCCATCAGTAACAGCTGAGTTATTACAGAGTAACAAACGAGCAGACTGCTTAACTCTGAAAAAACCTACACGTGCCACCAATTATAAGAAAATATTAGTTAGAAGTAGCATCTTCGTGAGAGATTCGTTGCTACTTCTAAAGTTAAATTGTGATTAGTTAGACAGAATAGGTGGATTAAGAAGTAATCGAGGAAACAAGCAAGAACTAGATACAAAACATGGATGAACAATTGGAACAACGTCGGGGTGGAAGATCGCAGTGAAGATGAGAACAGGTTCTGCTATTTCCATCAACATTCGTGCGCCAACTTTCAATCCGTAACACTTGAGAAAGTTTATCCAAGTTCGGCCATAAAAAAAGTAGCGATCTTCTTGGTTCATGAACCCAACTCGGAACTTATATCCATGGCTTTTCTTCACTGTGACCATTAAACTAGTGTATTCAGTTATGGCAAGGCCGAGCATCTTGAGTACATGTGTTCTGGCAGAGCAAATAATACACTGCAAGAAAAATAATATGAGAACATAGCATGTTCAAAAAAAAACCACCCTCCCGGATAGAAAAGAGGATTCTAGAAACATACTGTGCGTGTTTCAAAATGCTGTGTTAGGATGAGAAGGAAAAAGTGTGGCGTCTCGCCGAGGGTGCAGAAACCTATAGGGTCCTCGCACTTTGGGCACTACAAATGAAACACACTAGATTCAGTAGGAAGAAAAATGCATCAACGGCGGCAGCTGCCATCCTAGGATTACCTGCGACCAAGGGACTTAGATTTATCAGGGATGGAAGAAGAATTTGTACCTGGTTCTCCATGAGAAAACCCTATGCAATCGCCGAGAGGGGGTTTTCTCTGAACAAGCATACGCGGGAGAAGGGGATTCAGGCCCAGTGAAATATTGCCGCTTCGTCTGTCTAGCTTACTGCTAAAGCCGAAAAGGGGGGGGGGTTGTGATTTGACGGCTCATTGGGCATTACTGCGGCGCTACGACCAGGGTGTGTCTACCATGCAGTTGTGTACTCTAATTTGTGCATATGGCACGTGGACCCCGTTGCCGGTTGCCCCACATATCAGCGAAAGGAAGTAGAAAGACAGGAGTAACTAGTTACACATAAATATATTTTTGACAAAGAGATACTCCCTCTGTAAAGAAATATACAAATCTTTTATATCACAACTTTATACATAAGAAAAATCAAGGGGAATATATATAACATATATCTCTACTCTTATAAAAAAACAAAGTTGGTGATGATGGTTTGCCTGCCATCCTGCAATGTAAGCCGTCCGATTTATATCTGACGGATAGGAAGGAAAAATGGAAATTTTGCAAAAAGATACCCACACTGACTCAACATTTGCAAATAAGGCCTTCCCTCGTTCATCCTTTTCTCCCACAAGATAAACTACTCATACAAATGCATCTTGATGTTCCGTGCAATGCATGTGCATCTTGCTAGTAATTATAAAAAAACAGAGT